TTGAGTAGGCATGGAGAAATGCATCTCCCTGGCTACGTCTAGACTACATTGCTTTTTCGGGGTACCTATTCCGGAAAAGCAATGCCACATCCAAGGAATGTGTCCGCTTTTTTCTGAAAATTTTTTGAAAAAGCAGACGTACTCTTTCACCATCCCTGTAAATCTTGTTCTACAAGGAATAAGGGATGGCTCGAAAGAGCTGCCGTGCAGATGCGCCAAATTTCGAAAGAGCCTCTTTCGAAATTAAATTGGAAAAAGATATGCAATTTATGTACTGCTAATTGCATATCTTTTTCCAATTTAAAAGTGCAGTCTAGATGTAGCCTCTGCGTCAGTCTTCTTTATGATCTCCTGTTCTTTTTCACATTTCCTCAGGAATAGTTGGATTAAAAGTGGCATCCCTGCATAGACTGATGTAAAGATGGGGAACATGGGTCTATAGAAGACGCTTTAGTTTTTTCTGCTACCGGCTTTCCCCTTTGAACTGAATGACAAAAGCTTATATGGCCTTGGAGAAATGGTTGGGTCCCTTAATGGTTCATTTCCAAAGGTTCAAATATTTGAGAGAGTAATGGACAGGAAGGAGGAGTTCTGACCAGCACCTGGTGACTAAGTGGTTAAGCTCAGGTACCTTGCAAGGGTGTTGTCCAGGAGGCCAGGAGAACCAATCGAGATAGAGGGTTGAAATTTGAATTGGATCAAATTAGATCAGGTTCTTTGCCTGCTTTCTTTGCGTGGGAGAGAGAAACCAGGAGTTGAGAGACACAGAATGATTTAAACCCAGGCAGGACTGCCATGTCTCCAAGGAATTCAGCGCATTGGAGAGGACTGAACAATGAGAAAATTAGAAGTAAGTAAAAGGGAAAGTGAATCCAACAGCATTCAGGGTAATTGTATTTTGTGGTTTGGTTTGAACTGCTCTGTGTGAATCTATGCCTCCTGGCTATGTCTAGACTACAGCTAGGGAATGAGCCTGCTCTTCTGAAATTTTTTGCGGAAGGGCAGACGCAGTATTTTGGAAGCCCCTGTATTCCTCATTTCACAAGGAATAAGGGCTCTTCTGAAAAAGGGTTTTTTTCCAGTGTACATGGGCCTCTTCTGAAAAAACAATCAGAAAAAGGTATGCAAATTGCGGAGCACAATTTGCATATCTTTTTCTGATAAAATTCCACAGTCTAGATGTAACCTGTTTTCCTTAGTTGCTCTATAACAGCTGTGACCAACCCGCAGCTTGTGAGCCGCATGAGACTCTTCCTCCCCCAGGGTGCAGCTCGCGAACCCCCTTCCCTCCCCGTGGCTTTTAAAGTTGCCCCCATTCCCCTGAAAATTGGCCCTCTCCTCCTGGCTTCCTGTGCTCACTGGGGTGCGTCCATTAGAGATGGAGTATGAAAGATGGCATCAGCCTTGGCCAAAAAGCCTGTAACCACATTTCTTAAAGGGGCAGTTTTTTTTTTTTTTTTTTTTTTACTCGACAACTTTGCCCCAGCACACTAGATCCACTGATATCTTGGCTTTTTGACTGGAATGGGTTGGCCACCCCTGCTCTATGACATCTAGCAACCAAATATGCTTTCACAAGTTTATCTTTTGTAATAAAAATACTTTTTTTTAAGGTGATTGTGACATGGTCCATTATGGGCGCAAGCTCGTGCCCCTCCCCGATGGTCACGGCCCAGCGAGCCCACCGTCTTACTGGTCTCTCGCGTACCTCTAAGGTTGTGGGCGCGAGCTCCCGCCGGTCCCCACCCTCCCCCGGAGGGGGGGCGCATGGCGGGGCCCTGCCGAGCCCTAGTCCACCCCCTCGGTCCAGGAGGTGTCGGTCCGCCTCCCAGGGGTCACTTCCTACTCTTGGTCCTCGTCTCTAGTCCCCCGTGGGGGGAAAGTGTACAGCGTTGCGGGCAGGGGGGACCCGGGCCCGCCCTCTCCACCGGGTCCCAGCCCGGGACCCTAAGGGTTTGGGGGCTACCACTCCCTCACCCGGCTGACGGGGTTCCAACCCGTAGCGCGTCAGCCCACGGGTGCCAAAAGGTCCCTGTCCCGGGCTGCTTCCTAGCCACCCCCGTGGGGTCGTCCCTGACCCCCGAACCACCTGGTCTCACCTCTTCGCCCGCGGCGCCGGGTCCTTGGATCGGGTGCTCCCCCTGACGTTCTGCTCGTCCGGCTCCACCGGTGCCGGAGGGATCGTCTCCGTGGCATCCCTCCACGATGCCGGGTTCGTTGCCTCCTTTTAAATGCCCCGCTTCCGCCCTTGGCGGCATGGGTGTCCCCGCGCCAGCACACAGGGGGCGGGGTCGTCCCTCGGCATGCCCTGCCGGGGCCGCGCACATCCGGCTCGCTCCGCCGGCCCCAGCTGCCTGCACCCGCCGCTGGGCTTTGCTCAACACCGCGAGCGGCAGGCACATTTCCCTGCCGGTGTGCCAGCGCAGCCGTCCCTCCCGGGGTTTCTGCCAGCGGCGGGGCTGCTGCCCGCCCCGCTCTAGTGCGGGCCGCTGCTGGCCCGTCACAGTGATGATTTGATTCATGTGTCCTGGAATGTCTGTCTCTGTGTATCTGCATGCCTCTGACTGAGGGGTCAGCTACCAGAGACTGCACCTTTTTTTCTCTCTTCTTTTTTTAAGCTCTTTTGGGGCGTAAGAGCTTGGGATATCCCATGGGGTGATTTCAAGTGTTCACCCCTGGTTTTTAGGGACCAAAAAGCACTTGACGGTGGTAGCAATTTCCCAAAGTCTGTGTATCATGATTCTGGGGGAAGTTTTTGTAACCAGTGCCTGTAAATCAAGGTTTTGAAATTCTCTTATGGGCCCTCACCTTCTGCACTTGGAGTGCCAGAGTGGGGAACAGCCCTGACAGGGGGTTTAAGTCCTTTTTTCAAATATTTTGGGTGTCAGTTGGCCCTATTCTGCACATTAAAAGTTCTCTAAACTAAGGTTTTGTTTTATTAACATACATAATTATTATGAACAAAATGCATGAAGTGAGTGCTGAAAGACAATGATAATTGAAGATGGCTTCCAAGGGGGAAATAACATAGGTAGATGAATTACGGAGGTGGGACGCTGCCGGGTTGGTCCCGTAGGGCCGCCCCTCACCTGAGCGGCGCTGCTGAAACTGACCAGCGGCTGACTTGGGGAAGCTAGGGGCAGAGCACCTGGGGTGCTGCCGGGTTGGTTCCCCCCCCTCGCCCCCCCCCCCAGACCCCTTATAACTCCCCTTCCGATATTCCAGCATATCTGATAATCTGGCACCCCCTGAGTCCTAAAGGTGCTGTATTATCAGAAGTTTACTGTATGTCATGATTTCAGGAGCAGCAGAACTAAGGGAACCTGACAATAAAGTGTAGTCAGTGCATAAAGCAGGGGTGGACAATAATTTTCACAGGGGAGCACTTAATGAATTTTGATATGTGGTCATGTGCTGGCTCCACCCCCAGAAGGGGTGGGGCTGGGGCTGGGGCAGAAGGGTCAGGGCTGGGGTCCAGCCTTCCCCAAGAGCTATCTGGGACTGGATGCTTTTAATTAAAAACACAGCAAAGGGTCAGCCACTGTTATGTTGCGTGGCAGAGGCCTGGGGTTGCTGCAACTATTTAAAGGGCTTGTGACTCTGGCCCCCACTGGGGTAGCGTCACGACTAGGAGCCATGAGCTATTTAAATATGATCCAGTTGCCAGAGTCAGCACCTGGAAATTCGGTGGCACGGGCAGCAGGATATAAATAGAAAGTGGTCAGATGCAGTCCACAGGCTGGATCCAGACCCCGGGCCATATCTTGCCCAGCCCTGGCATAAAGGGAAGCACGTGCATAAGTCTTTGTGGCACTGGGCCTAAAATCTGACCAGCCGAGCTGTAAGCTGTGTGTTATATAAACACACTACCTCTGGGTATGTCTACACTACCCTCCTAGTTCGAACTAGGAGGGTAATGTATGCATACCGCACTTGCTAATGAAGCCCGGGATTTGAATTTCCCGGGCTTCATTAGCATAAGCGGAGAGCCGCCATTTTTAAAGCCATTTTTATTCTAATGAAGTGCGGGATATTTAAATTCCCACTTCATTAGCAATTTCGGTATGTCTAATTTACATCCCTCTGGCGACAGAAGGATGTAGTCTAGACATACCCTTAATTATTACTCAATAGGGGCAGCCAAGAAGCAACGTCTGAGCCAAGATTGACCAACATGGCCTGTGGCTGCTCCTAATCAAAACAAAGGTGTTGCCTGTTGTCCCAGACTGTACTGCTCATCTTGATCGGAATACAGTTACACATGTACATGCACTCCCACCTTCTGGGACCTGCAGCCTCTGCATACAGCATCCATGTGTGACTAGCTCTGGGTATGTCTACACTACCCCGCTAGTTCGAACTAGCGGGGTAGTGTAGACATACCCTCTGTGAAGATGCTGTGTCTTACAGAGCTGGTTGAAAAATGCCAAAAAAGTTTTCACTGAATTTCATAATACTTTTGAAATTTCAAAATATTTTAGCTAATTCTATCTAATACACATATATTCAAAGGAAAATAATACGCACGCCTTTATTTTGTCCAGCAAAATATTTACATTCACTCAGAATATAAAGATGAACACAGTTGTTAATCTGAAAACAATCAAAAAATTACAATTGTTCTAATATGTACAGCCAGAACACTGAACAGTCCCCAGAAATTTCCCTTGATAATGTTACACACAACGTGGGGAAAGATGACTCTCTTCCATCCAGAAAATAAGGACCATGGAATCCTTGCAGAGATAACTTTCTGATATTGAAATTTGTTTAAAAATGTCATCCAGCCAAGAG